AAGTTGACGACGTCCTCGAAGAACTTAATCGACTCCTGAATACGGGCGGACGGCGGCACGTATACGACGTAAACGCTCCAAACGTCTTGTAATTTTAATTTCATAAGTTGAAAACTTCCGACGGTCGTCGTAGGTCTAACGCACGTACTATCGACCTCGATCGTACATGCGCTTTCTTTTTTTTTCAGACAAAGCGCTCCGAAAGGTTTCCTTCTGACATGGACGTTGTCGTCTTCGTTCCCTCCTACTACTCCTACTTCTTCATCGTTCGCGTTGTCCGAATTTACTATGTTACAAACAACGTCGAACGCCGCATTGTCGTTGGCGAGCCGAGTCAAATCCGTCCGTTTAAGCCAAGTTTCAACCATTACGACAACGTCGACGGCGTAAAATTGCGGATCGGCCGCTATCAGTTTGCTATGTTTTAAAAAGCTTTGAACGTTGTGAAATGTCAATTTAACGTCGACGGACGACCCGGACGACAACATTTCCTCGACGGGAATTCCAAGTCGACGGCTCGGATTTTCTCTAATAGATTTTAGTTCCTCTTCAACGGGATCTTTTTTTCCGGTCGCCAGGGGAGCTTTGAATTTGTCGCCGAACAAATATAAACCGTCGGATTTCGTGACGCGACTGCAGCCGACGTACATTGAACTTTTGGGCATGTGTTTGCCCAAACGTATCGCGACGTTTTTATAAGTTGCACCCTGCGCCTTGTGTACCGTCATCGCTTCGGCCGGCGTAATCGGAAATTGACGACGCTCGACGAAAATATCCGAAAATCCCTTTTTGGTCTTAATCTGCCGCGTACATCTTTCTAAAGGCACGTAACCCGAGTCTAGGTAAGTCTTCGCGACGACGTTGAAGTTCGTGGTGGCGATCTCGGCGGCGGCGGCGGCGGTCGTAGTCGAAGAGATCGATTCTAACGCCATGTAAAATTTTCTCCTAATATGTTCGCCAACCGTTCTGTTGTTGTCGTCGTCGCGACTATCGAACTCTAGCCATAATCTTTTGACGTGCGCGGCGGAGGGGACGGTGGCGGCGGCGACATCTTCGGCTACAAATCTCCTTTCCGACCGTTCGATTGCTTTTAGGATGCAACACGCGCCGTTTACCAAACCGTCGGTGACGTCCACGTTGACGGTAATCATGTAACGGGCGCCGACGTGTAGTGGAACCGTCAAAGCCAAACCGAAACACTGACCCGGCGGCAATCGTCTAACGCTGTTCAGGAACTGCCTCCTTAACTTGTCGCTGACCTTATTTCCCGAACCTTTCATGGAATCTTCCGCCTCGGAGATGGCCACGTCGTCATTGTATGTCTTCAGTCGCTTGTCGTTAAAGTCGCCGACCTCCTTGTTGGTGCGAAGAAGGCATATGGCGTCGCGTGGAATGCCTGCCTCGTCGAAATTCGAACCGACGTGCCGCTTCTCGAAAATTTCAACGTCTTCGGAGGTCATCTTTCCGTCGGCCATACGATTTAGAGTCTCCGCGAAACGCTTGTCCTCCCTCTGTCGCATAACTTCGGTCAGTTCGTAAAATTTAAAATTCCTCCAAAGGTAGTCGTCTATAATGTCGCAGTAATTGTTCACGTTACTCCTATTTATGTTGAATAGATAGCAGTCGCCGACGGGAGGTAGCTGTCGCAAATCGCCAAAATTGAAACGCCTCCGAAATCGCAATCGTTGGCGAAGATTTGCCGCAGTCTCAGATTGATGTTGTTCAACATTTTACCGCCGACCATCGATATTTCGTCTACGATTAGTAATTTTAAATTTTTCAAATCGCAGCGTATCGTATTTATTAAATTATCGTTCAACGGCACCAACGGTCCGGTCAGTTGATTTACCGGCAAGTGCAAAACGGAGTGCAGCGTCGATCCGTCCACGTTGTAGGCCGCCTTTCCCGTCGGCGCGCATATCAATACGACGCGTCCTTCATCGTCGTCGTCTTCGTGATCCGCCTCGGCCGTCGTCGTCGTCGTCTTCATTTTTCTAAAAAGTAAAACCGAACTTTTTTGTCTTCGTCGTCGTCGTCTTGTCCTTATTTGATAAGTGGCCGCCATCTCGATGGTTTTTATTAAGTGACTTTTTCCGACGCCCGCGCCACCGGCGACGAAAATATAAAATGGATCGCTTTCGCATCGTACGATGTTGTTTAAAAAATAATTTAAAAATATAGATTGTCTAAAATTGAGCGATTCGACCATTCTAAATAATTTGTCTTTATCGACGAATATAGGTTTCTTGATGCGTACATCAATCCCGGCCGCGGCGTTTGTCGTGGGAAACGGTCGTCGATTTACTTCTAACATTGAATTTTGGTTGTTATTGAAGTAGTCCGTTAGGCCCGATAGAAAATCGACGTTACCATTCATTCCGCCATCGTCGTATACGGCATCGTCGCGATCGTTGTTATCCTCTACGCATGTGGGAGTAGTGGTTTCTGCGGCGGCGGCGGCATCTCTTACAACGTTCTCCTCAAGTTCGTTTAAATGTTCGCTTTCTATTTTTATAAAAAGAGCACATTCGGCGCGTATCAATTCCAAATTATTATCGTAAAAATTTTTAAAATTAGGAATGTCCATTATGTCTCTCGTCTCATTACGCCAAGGTACAAAAAGCATAATATTTTCCCTGTAGAAATTGTCCGGGTCCGATAAAAGTCTGTACTGTCTATACCTTAATATTCGTCTATGTCGGTTTAATTTTCTCACGAAATCAGTGTGGTCCGTTAATTCGAGCGCGTTCGCGCCTGCCGCGGTCGCCGATTTGAAATACGTATATTCTGTAACGAATCGCGCCAGACACACGTCCTCCATGCTCGCCGGACGAACGCTGTAATGATCTAGCATGCCGATCATGAAAACGTCCTCGCTCGACCCGTCCATCTCCTTAAGCGCCGACTTGGACTTGACCATTTTCACGCGATCGTTCGGCGGAAACGTCTGTACGAAAACGTACTTGCTGCTGCAATTGGTCAATCTAAGGCCGAGATTGTGGTAGGACGCCTCCTGTATCGACACCTCCGTGCTGCCGAGAAATATGTTTCCCAAACGACGTAATTTTTCTTTCGTTTGAAAATCGCCGGCGCGAATGTTCGCCTGAGCTTCGCGCATAAGTTTCGAAACGCCCGAATCGGCCTTGTTAATGTAATTAACTATGTACGATACGCAAGTGTGAGCGTCGACGATGAACTGAATATCCATGTTTGCGCGATGCATATTTAAAATGTTGACGTTGTACGGATTTATAAAAACGTCTCGCATATCGCGTTTCACAAACACCTTGAACTTCTTCAGTCCAGATCGAACGGCCTCGACGTACGACATTTCGTTAAGATCGAGCGATTTTAGAAAAACATCGATCGAATTTTCTACCACCGCGATCGCCTCTTCCTCCTCCTCCTCCTCTTCTCGATCGTCGATTTCCTGTCGTCGTCTATCGTCTCGTCGAACGAACGACGAAAATGTCGCTGAACTATCTAGCGCGTCGCGAATTTTTTTCAAATTCTCGCCTGCCAATTTTTTATTGACGCGTCGATCGTCGGAGTGCCAAGTTGCATAGATGCAACAGGGGGGTTACCAGGCTGTGTGCGCATCCTTTCAATACGTATGGAGGGATCCCGTCTTCCCCTATAGCTGCACGTGGTTTTAGGACTTTGATTGATTCTAGTAACTCACTTTCCTGTATGTTCGTTAAGTGCAATTTGGATTGTGAAGTCCGACTCAAGCCCATCGTTCGGATCCAGGTTTTCCTCTTTGTTGTACACAGACTTAAAGTACGATGCAAACGCGTCGGCAATGCTTTTGGGATCTTCCAGCGGGATGGTTTTGTACTCGAAAACTTCCGGCAGTTGTTTGGTTGATGTCAAGGACCTAACGTAGCCCCAGAATTTATTTGAATTACTCCGGAGGTCAACTTCAATGTTCCTAATGTATTTCTTATAAGCGTCACGGATCATTTTTTTGAGTTCCTTTCGGTCTTCCTTAAATTCTTCCGATTTGCCTCGTGTGCGATGTTTATTCTTCAATTTAATTTTCTTGATAATAGCTAAATCAAACCAAATGGGGTACTTGTTTGTGATCCTGATAGTTACTTTTGGGACGCATTCATCAAAAATCTTGTATACAATTTCATAAAAAGTAGTTACCGCGTTGTTTACAGATTTGTAATCGATTTGGGTAAGGGATTTACAGTTGGCGTCGCGAAATCGTAAATACATTTTGTAAAAATCTGCCTTTTTAAAGTTGTAGTTAGTTGTTGTCCTAGTTTGATTAATCTTTCTTTCCGCTTGATGTATTACTTGAAGAGCTGGATGGAGAGGATTTGCTTTGTCTAGCAGATCAGATGCCGTTGTGATTTCAGCATTTATGTTTGTTAAAATCAAATCAAGTGTTCTGTTATCGGAATTTTTAATTGTGTTAATGGACCTTAAGTTGTACATGGAGGCGAGATTTTTGATTACTTTGGCTTTAGAGCTCCCGTTTTCAAGGTTATACGTTGCATCACTAATTTCCGGAATATTGAAATCACCGGCAAGTAGTACCTCGGATGTGAGCAATAAATTTTTGATTGATTCTAAACTTTTAAGAAATGACTCGTATTTTTCCGTGTTCGATTGAGGTTTGGAATATATTACGCCAATTATGTAAGTAGTGTTTTTAAGTTTGAACTTGACCCACATTTCATTCTGCTTACTCTCAAATTCTAATTGCTCGGCCTTTAGGTCAAGTCGTACAGCGATGAGTACACCGCCACCTCTTTCGCAATTCGTCTCCTTATAGTTTCTATCATTTCGAAATACCGCATATTGATTACTAAAAAACTCTGCGTCGTGAAAAGAATTGGTCAACCACGTTTCTGTTAATAGGATTACGTCGTAATTAGTGCTGGCTAAGTTATTTTTGAATGACTGACCTTTAGTTCGCATACCGCTGATGTTTTGGTAATATATGCTGAAACTTGATGTAATTGTTTTGCTCACATTCCCTTGATTTGCTAATGTTGCGGCTGTCCTAAAAAATCAATCCTGCTTATTTCTTGTTCTAAGCGTTTTCTGTAGACTGGACATTCATTGGACCACGCTGGATGCTGGACGTCGAGCTTCATTTTAAGTGTGTCTACTGCATACGCACAATTACAGCATTTCATTTCGTCATCGGTGGCTTTGCAGCTAGTTAGTTCGTGGTCCCCCGCGCATTTGGGGCAGGTCGTTGCTTTGGTGCAGTCCGCTGCCTTATGGCCAAAGTTATTGCATTTGTAACATCTCCTGGTAGTAACTGCGTCATAAATCCGGCACCGGTCCCATCCTATGTTAAGCTTTTGTTCTTTCAAAATTTTTTGGTAACTGTTGCCATCGACCTCCGCGTACGCAATATACCTGTTTGGGTTTCTGTTGTCCTCAGCTATGTGGACGATATTAATGTAGGCATTTTCTCCAAGGAATTGATTCTGCGCTAAGATCATCTCTTTCATTTGTGCACTTGCAATCTTGTCATTCAGTCCCACGATCTTAATCTTTGGCAATTTACGTTTCGGAATTGAGAGAATGTACTCATCTCCCAGCTTCGATTCTGCCTCTTCCTTTAGTTTCGCCGCTGCCTCCTTAGTTTTACATTCCACGACGATGGCTCCACGTCGAAGGGTTTTCATTCCGGTAACTTCTCTCGTAACTGGATTAATATTTTTCTTTAGTGTAGTGAAAGTTTGCTTCGAGAGTTGGGATGAGTCTTTGGGTTTCACGATAATGACTGGGTCGTATGTTTTCTGCTTTAACTTTTCTGCATAAGTAAGCTTCACTTCAGTTTGGGTGTGGAGTACCTGAGCCAGGTCCTTTTTTATGTCGTTATTTTGGGTGTTTACCTGGTCTAGAACATCCGTCAAAAGTTTCTCCTGATTCACGAGCTTCCCGTGCTGATTCTCCATTACACTATCCCAGCCCATCATCATTTTATTTATATTTGTCACCATATTCTTAAGACTGTGCGATTCGTGGACTGCACAGGGGTCGCAGAACCAATGAAAGTTTCTTTTTGAATTAATAAATTTAAGCTCATCGTCACTGACTTTAGCACATTTCGCGTGAAAGTAAGTTTCGCACCAGCTAGCACAGCGAACAAGTTTTTCTTGTCGGGCGAGTTCCACTCGGCAGATGCCACAGATAGCAACAGGCATTCCAGTGGCCAATTAAGGGTGGTAACCACCCTCACGAACTGGTCGTTGGTTACCTAATTCGCTTACTTTGTAATCGTTCCGTTACGATCGCGATCGTCCTATCGATACGACGGCGCGCACTGAACTGAACTATTGGCTATGGTTTGTGCAGATACTTCATTTAAAGGGCGATTGGTAACTTCCGCACATGAAAAATCTGAATCGGCAAATACATGAGGATTATAGGGATAGATTCAGTGGCGTCGCTAGGGTTCTCTGGGCCCAGTGCGGATCCAAATTTCTGGGCCCCCAAAGAAATACGAAATATGTGTGATAACCTAATGGGAAACATTTAAACAAAAATAAGCTATATTTGGTTTAGGAAATTTATTTACAGCGTTTTGTGTAAAAAATAGTTATTTGTTTCATTAGTACAAAAAATGTCAGTTTTCGGGACGAGGAAGATAGTTGCTGGACGACGCGTTAGCGGAGTCCAGCAACCTTCCGAGTCCCGAAAACGCATTTTTTGTACGAATAAAACATAAAATTTTTTCTCCAACCCCCTTTACTTCAAATTATATTCGAATTTAGATTCACTTACAGTTTCACTACTATAGTATAAGAACTTCTGCTTTCTTGTCCTCACGTGTCATGCCACTCTAGTTTTTAGGTTAACTTATAACCTATTCGTTCTTACTTCTTACTTCTCACCTCTCGCGACTTTGTAGGGAGCAAATCTTGAGGTAGCATGTTCTGCCGTTTCTATAATCTCTAGCGGAGTGCAATCCATGTCGCTATCAGTTTCAGTCATTTTATTGTATACACAATTAATATTGTTATATTTTGTATTGAAATAAAAAACTTACCATACAGTTTTTTAATTAAAATTAATTGCAATTAACTTTTTCAAATTTTGAATTCAAAATGACAGATAATAGTGCAATGGGTCTGAAGTAGATGGCGTTACGCGCGACGGCGGGTTGTATACGTATTAAAATTACGTTCACGGAATATGTAAGTTACGTTACACTTGGTTTAAATAAAAATAGCGAGCGTAAATCATTTTCAATACATGTACATACGTATAGGTAACATCATTATTTGCATTGAATATGCAAAAATATTTGATTTGTATGTATAGAAATATCTTACAACCTGCAATGTAAAACGATGTCAATGTGACATATCTCCGTGATTGTAATTTTTTAATTGGCCAACTTTCAAGGTCAATTTCTTTTTGGTACTAGGACCAAAAGTATCCACTTTTTGTACAGTTGCCATGGTGAAAGCGATTAATCCGCAAAACGTCAATTTTAGGTACCGAACACTGTCACAAAATAGCGTCTTATTCAGGTGGTTGGAGAAAAAATACATTTAAGTTCTATAAACTTATTTTACGTGCTTTCGTATTAGCAAAATCAGCAATAACAGAATTGAAATCAATCGAATCAGTAACTTCACGCTCAATAGATAAAATTGCAAGGTTTGACAATCTCAAGTTGCTGGCGGGCGTCCGTAAGCGAACTCCAAACACGAGTCACAACAAAGCGTGCGTAATATTACAGTTTTGTCGTCGAGTCACATTGCACTCAGTGCAGCGGTTTTGTCAACTGCATAAAAGTAATGAATAGCATAGAGAACATAACAGAATGAATTACGAAGGCCGGCTTGTTTTAGCTCATTTTTGATTAGCTTAGAAATTGTCAGAACTTACAAATTTACTTACCTTTATTTTATTCGTATTGTAACGTGATTTATAAATTCGGGTTCGATTTATATCAATATTTATTAATCAAAACTAAAACACTATAAAAACTGTACAATTTATATCCACTATTTATATTACACACTTCGCAATTTATATCAGATTTTCGCGCTCAATGTTTCGTCCGTACTCGATCTCGTTCGGTAGTAAAACTGACTGCGATGTTCGGTCCGCAACCATTTATACACGCAAGCAATGTAAGTCGAGAACACTCGCATCATTACCAGATAAGTCTCGAATATTCCTATACAAATCCCGCTATCGCGCGCGTAGAAAATTCCAGAGCGCCAAAGGCGACGTCACGTCTGGAGTGTTTCCGTTACAGTATTTCTGCAAACTATCGATCAACCACAGATTTTCAAAAATGTTGCATAATTTTTGTTATCCCGGCCGCGCGGTTACACGGACGAATTATAGGGCCCCTTCATTTCAGGGGCCCGGTGCGGACCGCACCCCCCTAGCTACGCCACTGGATAGATTCCCGTTGCTGAAAACCCTTTTGTAACATTTGAAGGGATAAATGCCCGAGAATATGCGTGCCCAACTAATTCCGGAATGTTTCGCAAAGACATTGTTTGTCCCGGATTATTCACCATCCACACGTCAGCATGCTCATTATAAAAGTGTTTAAACGGTCCAAATACTGAAACATCCAGAGGCTGGAGGCGATGGCTGGTATGCGGCGGAAGTGTCAGCATTGTTCTTGCATAGATCAATTGACCGTGGAGAAATGTGGCTATCATGGTTGTCTAATATTAAAAGACATATTTGTTCTTTGGAGCATTTTGCAAAATTAATGAAATGATTCAAATAATTAACGAAGTTAGTTTCCGTCATCCATCCACTTTCATGCGTTACTGCTATCGAACCTGTTGGTGCTCGTTGAGTCATATACTCCTGGTGACGCACACGCGGAAATATAAACATGGGAGGGACCGAATTTCCTACAGCATTTATTGCGCTGCAAACTGTCACCAAGGTGCCTCGTTCCGCGGAAGTAGCCTTGGATATTTGTTTCTGACCTTTGCGGCAAATTATTTTTTGGGGCTTATGTGCCGTTGTCACGCCCGTCTCGTCTACATTGAAAATAGATTCTGGTCCTAGGTTATTTTTTTCATATAGGTACCAGCAAATCGTCATAATTTTTGGCAATAATTACCTACCTCCGACGAGCAATAAACAGTGTTATTTCCTGTCAAAATTACCCTCTAATGTTTTTTTTTCATATTTCATCTATTTCTCAGCCCGTATGTCGCATAACTAGTCGCCATTACCTACTTTTGCATTTTCTTTTCCCAAAAAAGTTTGCTGTAACATTACAAATAATATCATGAAGCATCTTATAATGTAAGTCAAGCAGAAGCCCAACGAAACACGCAAAAACCTTTGAACGCGGTTTTCTCAAAAGTTGCTTTAATGGAGATGCGGGGGTCTTTCTTAACAGGGCAGATTACCCTTACACGATGTAGATGATTCTGATGATTCAGAATTTGACTATTTCAATTTTGTTGAAAAATGTGTACCAATTGACAAATGTAAATTAATTTATGAAACTAGGAAAGATGTTACGTTAGGAAAAGTTTATAATTTGTTACGGTGTGGATTTCCTGAAAAATGTGACGATGAGTTACTTAATAGTATATTGCATAATAAGTGTGCTAAGAAGCCTATTTCGCACGAGTATTTTGCGACACGAGCGAGTGTTGTAATAAAATCGAGTGCGTAATAGGCATTAGCACTCGAATTATGTACTATACTTTTTCTACGACTTGAATATAATTGATAATAGATTGATAGATTACGATTGATTTGGTTCTAAATATTCGAACTTCGAACTAAAAATTAGAACTGTCAAACGTCATATTTTATTTAAAAGTAATACAATGTAACCTCATTTTTATTCCGTGAATGCACGTTTGCAAGAAAGATAGCAAGAATTCATCAATATTCATTGATAAAACACATTTTGTCTATCGTGCTCGTTTTCGTCAGTTTTGAAATTTAGAACGATTTGTATTGTTGTGGTTGCCAACAGCGAGATCATCACGTTCATGTAATAATAAAGTTCGCGTTTTGCGGGTGCGACTATTCAATTTCTAGTAACATTCATTGAGAAAAGAAAAAGAAACGTGTAATACCTAGAAACTACAACAAACAGGAATAAGGAACAAGAATTAACCATACACACATAAAATTTAAAAATGATCAATGAGGTGTGGTAAGTACCTACTCTAACTATAAAAGAACATTGAAATTAATAAACATAGAGAACAAGACTATTATAACTACTTATACCTACTTAGAATTAAAATTTATAGTAAAATGTTTGCAATTTTTTATAATAATGGACTGTTCACTTCGTTTCAGCACTGTAGATGAACTCATCGACTTGTATGAGGATGCCGATGTTGAAGTTTGTACTTCCAAATTTGAATGTTCATCTGGAAGTGCAGCCGATGTTGACGCCACTGGTTCCTCACTGCTCTGAATTTTGTGTATTATGGCTTGTGCAGTGGAAGATTTGTGATGCATCGAATCGTCCACATAACTTTCGGCAACACTAGTGGATTTCCATCTGCCATGTCTCTTAAGGGCCATAGTGTCTCCTCCTGCATCTACCAAGATAGTAGCGGAGGTCCTGCGGAAGCAGTGACCTGTGTAGGAATTGGAATCGGGTAGTTGCAGATAGGCAGCGATTTGTTTGGGAATGCTTCCTATTTTATTAATACCAACAAGTTGTTTGGTACATTTGCCTTTTTGGTAATTAATAAATAATTGTTTGTTGTCAAAATTTGCCTGCTGTCTTATCTTAATGACTTTTGCATTGTGCAATAAAATGTCCCAGACACAATAAAAGATCGACAAATCTTCGTTTTTGTGTCTGGGATTTTTATCAGTAAGGATTTACCAGTATCTTCGATGTTATCCATAGTGATGTTTTTTAGCTCTTGCTTGCGACAAGCACCAGTCACACCACAAATCAAAATAACCTGAACGTAAAGGTAGCAACTTTAATGTTACAGTAAGTTAG